CTCTGGGATTCACAAAATAAATTATTTTTCCTGATTATCAATTATGGTTCCTTATGAATAATAAATCTGATGTTGATTGTGGTGTCAGATTTAATTAAAATTTCCTATCACAAACATGCAATTGACTCCTCATAACTGTGGAATTTTTCCACAGATGAAGGCGGATTCGAACAAGTTTGGAGGCTTCAGACAAGTTTGAGGTTTTAACTAAAAATGGCCCCACAACCAAAGAGCCACAACTTATAAGGTTGCAACCAGCTGCAGAATTTCCAAATCAGTTACAAACACTCTTCTTGACAACATTGCAATTGATAAACTCCAGAGCCATGTCCTCCCCCTGAAAATTTAATTGCACCATCATATCATTGGAGCACACTGGTCACATTAGCCTAATTTTGCACCAAGGAATATGAGAATAACTGCTATGTTTTGAATATTCAAGCTTTGAGTATCTGTAATAAAATGCTTGCATATTGAATCGTTTTTGGTGTTGCAGATTGTCTAAATGCACTTCTCCAGGTGTGTATACAAGAAAAATCTTTGATATTTACATTGCTTTGACACTTCTTAATATTAATAATGATCATGCAAAACAAATAACAATTATTCGTTTATTATCAACAGGGAATCTTGTATAATTACCTTTACCTAATGTAAAAGACTATTGATTTTGCTCTATGTTCCAATTTCACTTCATTATAACATAAAAAAAAATAAAGTTCATTGATTAATAAAAGTAGTGATGTTAGCCGGCTAATAATCTGCATGCATAATTTCTAAATTTGGTAATAGATTTCTGCGTTACTTTCTTGTTATAGAGATCAAATTACCAATTTAGGTAGTAAACGGCTTAGCCGGCTAAGGATTTTTAAACGGCTAACATCATTAAATAAAAGGAAATCTCTAACTATTTAACAAACAACATCTTCAAAACCATGTTTATTAATGAATACCTATATACCTATTGATCTCGCGTCTCAAAAAAAAAAAAAAGGTTGTACGACACTATACCCTATTAAAAAATTTTTTTTTCGTGTTCAAAAAAAAAAAAAAAAACAAAATGAATCAAATAAGATTAGCAGAACATAAAAAAAGCAAAAAATTTCAAGCGAGATATGAGTAAGTATCATCATAGCTGTTATTTTGTTTAATTCAAGCTCTTTTTAGTGAACTTTGGCTCTAATCACAGAAGAAGCGACAATGACAAAATCGAAAGAATCATTCAAAACATACAATCATCAATAAATCAAGAATATAATATACCCATGATAAATATTGAAAACACATTTAAAAAAAGAGAGATAAAGATACTGTTAACAAATAACTTAAGAAATTGTGTAAATGAGATAAGAAATGAATATGACGAAGTATGAGCAAAGTTTATTTACTATTACTGATTGATTCATTTTATATTTGTTAACAACTATTTTGTTTTAATTTTAAAAGATGGCAGGAATTCCTGTAGTTTACAAAATACACTTAGTAATGATAATATGACAAGTTATATTATTAATAGAGGAAGAGAAGGGAACACAGACAATACTAACAATGATAACAATGAAGTTGTATATAATTTTTCCACTTATTTTTTTGATCATTTGCTTTTACTTATATAATTAATCTACTTTTAAATTCTTACTACAAACATTACAGAATCAACAACTCGAGAATGACTTATCTGATGATGCCAATGATTTATTTGAACCTAACCTTACATCTTTAGTTCATTATAATGAAAGAGATTTAGGTCATCAAGAAAACCTACAACGAAAATCTAATAAAAGAAATAAAAACAAAAACTATGATTATACATGCAGCCCAAAGTTATTTTGACACTGTCATAAAGGGGGTTACACATGTAGTAAAGGGGTGTTACACTTATGTTTTTAATAGTGAATGCCATAATTAATTTCTACTTTCTACCATCAAAATTGGAATAATTTTGACCATCAAAATCACCAAACCAATTTGGGCTGCATGTATAACTATGATACTTATAACATTTACCTAAACAAAGTATTAAAGCAGGTATGATGCATATTAATATTTATATATTTATTATTTTATTACAATATTACATTATATATATTTAATGTAAATTAATACAATTTATTTATAAACTTAAGATTCACCCTGATATTGGAATTACTAGTATGTCAATGTCTGTTTTAAACTCATTTGTAAATGATATGTTTGAAAGGATTGTCAGTGAAGCAAAAAATCTTGCTTCTCACAACAAAGGATCTACCATAAGTTCATGAGATATAGAGTATGCTGTCAGATTGGTCTTACCAACTGAATTGGCAAAACAAGCTATGTCCAAAGGAGCATAATGGACATTCGAAATGTTACACTAATTTTTTATGTTGTGTACTGTAATTTTACAATACACTGTGAATGTTGTCTCAATAAAAAATTGCTGATAAAATGGATTTCAATTTGTTCGCAATTTGTTCATGAACCTAGAGAGGCAACAACTATATACTGGTGAAGTTTCAGGAACAACGGGCTCTGTGTAACATATTGTGTAATGACGAATGTCCACTATGCTGTCCGAAGGTACAAAAGCTATCAATAGATACAAAAATATCACATAAATATACATTTTAGAATTTCACATGGTGGTATGATGTGGTGACTTCAGTGACTAGGGGATAATATTTTTTTAAAAAAGCTTTTATCCTGCTTGATAATAAACTATAATGATTATTTGCTTTTAATTGATTGAAATACCTTGATCTGTTAATATTGTACCATTTTTTTGCAAATTTACAGTATGTACAAACTAGTGATGGTGGCTGAAATCATTTTTGAAAAAAAGGGTGATTTTGGCCAATACTATGGTAACCAATATTTTTTATAACAACAATCATATCCAAATCAATTTACTTTAGTTTAAAAAATTTAAAATTAATTTTGCCTGAATTTAGGCCGGACCAATTTGATTTTATGTTTAACACAATTTTATCTTATAAAAAATGAGGGGAGGAGGAGGGGTTATATAATAATTTTCAAAATTATATTCAATTATATCCAATTATAAAAGTTTTAAAATTTGAGGGGGGGGACAATATAATTTTTTATTTGCACATGATAGGACACCAGATAATTATAAATGAACCATCATCCCACTATGTTGTGAACTTTACACAATACCTAACCACATGTTCATCAAAGTCGATGCCATCCAACAACATAGTAAAATATGTTTCTTTTAATGAAGGAAATCTTTTGACACCAAAATCTCATAAATCTATTGACTAGAACTTGAGATAAGGCTGTGTAACAAGACAAAATTTTGGTCATTTTTACCTCCATAAGGACTGTTTTTACCCCATTAATGAGGTTACACATAATATATAAAAGTAAAGAGTAACACTATCAAACTTTTTTTTAATCCCATTTTTTTAAAGACAATAAAAAACTAGATGTCATAACAAAATTTCATGCCCATAGCTTTTAAAATGGGCCCAGGATGACAAATTTAGTTGATTTTTGCTGTGAGATGATAGTTCATTTATAATTACCCGGTGTCCTCACATGATCATATGTGAATAAGCATGGTGGACATTCGAAATGTTACACTAATTTTTTATGCGTGTAATGTAATTTTAAAGTAAAAAAAACCTTATTGTTCAATTAAAATGGTGACATGTTGATATGTAACACATACTGTAACTTTACAAGATATTCTTTAACGTTTTTTTAACTTAATTCCAGCTGCATCCATCGGCATCCATGATTTTGACATACTATACTTAGTACTAACTTTTCCAATATGGTATTATGCAGCAGATGTGTAATTTGCAACAAAATTAGAGTAGGCTCCGAAGTATAGAAAAATAAGTATAAATAAAGCAGAACTGGGAATTGGGTGGATGAACTTGATATCTTTTAAACCATTTTCAAGGTATAATAGTGAAAAAAGCCAAATGTGCACTTTGTAAAGAAAATAAACTTTTAAACAATAAATGAAACTACTAAAGGAAAAACTGAAGGAGGATACAACAAGGTATTCATTCTATAATTAT